TGTTACTCTGTTTCAGTGGCACTGAAAAAAGTGACTTAAGACTCTTGCACCATCCCCAATTTGTATGCTTGGCAACTGGCATGTATTTATGACGGTTGCAGTTGTCCTGGGGTCACGTGATCACTTTTTGCTACCTTCTGACGAACAAAGTCAGTGGGGAAGCCGGATTCACTTAACAAACATGTTACTAACTTAAAAGCTGCCGTGATTCACTCAACAACTGTGGCAAGGAAGGTCGTAAAATGAGGCAAAACTCAATTAGCAATGGAAATTCAGGTCCCAATTGTGGTCACAGGTTGAGGCTACCTGTACCATCTCAGCTGGATTTTCCTTCTTATGGGTGCTCTAATTTTCCAGGGGAGGCTGTTCACCTCGCTCGAGACTTTGGCTATGTGTGTGAAACAGAGTTCCCAGCCAAGGCAGCAGCGGAATATCTCTGTCGGCAGCATTCAGATCCCAGCGAGCTCCACGCCCGGAAAAACATGCTTTTAGCAACCAAGTAAGTAATAGGATCGCACCTGTGGTGGAAGACAAGCTAGCATCAAAGTCAGCTTAAGGGACAATGCACATGTTTTTGCAATTATGCAACTGAGGACAGTGCAGAAAATCTAATAAGTGTTAATAGAAAGCTATATTATTTCTCACAATGGGGAAAAATGGATGGGGGAAGAAGTGGATTTGGTGGAAAGTAAACTGTTTTAAACAAAGAAGATTTTATTCAGTCCATTGGGAAATCATTTCTGGTTTTTTATATGCAAAATAGGGAGTGGGGGAGGGAGAAATATAGACTTCAGTTTAAAGATTGAATAATTGTGTAATTACAGAAATGGTTTATGGTAACTAAATATAATACAAAAAGCTGAGGCTGTAAATCTGGTTGCTATTTCATTCTACTCTACTGGAAAGTGTCAGAAGTCAATGCTTCCCCCCTTTCTTTCTTTCTTTTATCCTGTACCCCCTTTTTATTTTGATTTACATTAATAAATCAAAATTTACATTTGTAAAACACCTTCATAAAATATTGGGAATATTTCATGGAAGGAGTAGTTGCAGGTGGCAAAGAATAAATATACAGACTTCTCCTTTGCACTAGGCAGTACTCTACCTAATACTACAGTCAATTTGTAAAATACCTTCATAAAATATTGGGAATATTTCATGGAGGGGTAGAAACAGTTGCAGTTGGCAAAGAATAAATATACAGACTTCTCCTTTGCACTGATCATTAAAAATATAGATAGTACTCCACCTAATACTACAGTCAATTAGACAAGAAGAAATGGATGCAGCTTATCAAAGAGATCCACTTTAGCATTAAGGAGAAAATTTATGTCAGTGAGAACAATTAATCAGTGAAACAGTTTGCCTCCAGATGTGGATGATCCATCGCTAGAGGTTTTTAAGAAGAGATTGGACAGTCACTTGTCTGAAATGGTATAGGGCAGCGATGGCGAACCTGTAGCATGCCATTCAGAATCCTCTCTTCAGGCACGCCAGCTGTCGCCCCAGCACAGCTCCACCACGCATGTGCCTCCCGATGGTCAACTGGTCTTCAGGTCTCTGCCACGCATGCGCAGGGCACATGCAGGGGACGCTCGTGCACATATGTATGGGGTGCTTGCATTGCATTTTGGGGGTTCGCACACATGCACACATCTCCAACACCTTGTTTTGGGTCTGGAAGGCTTCCTGCACCAACCTGGAAGCCAAAATGGGGCATGGGGGCACCACTGAAGCCCCCCCTATCTCCCATTTTGGGCCTGGAAAGCCTCCTGCACCAACCTGGAAGCAAAAAATGGGCGGGGGAGCAGGGTGCATATGTGGTGGCAGGGTGCATGCCCAGGGGCACATGTGTGGGGTGCATGCCCAGGGGCGCTCGTGTTGTATTTTGGGGTTTCACACATGTGCTTTGGGCACAGCACCAGAAAGGTTAGCCATCACTGGTATAGGATCGCCTGCTTGAGCAGGGGGCTGGACTAGAAGGTCCCTTCCAGCTCTATTTTGATTCTCATTCATTTCCCTTTTTCTCACTCCAGGCAAATCTGCAAAGAGTTTGCTGATATGATGGCTCAAGATCGTTCCCCTCTGGGAAACAGCCGCCCGACACTCATCTTGGAACCTGGCGTTCAAAGCTGCTTGACGCACTTCAGTTTAATCACCCATGGTTTTGGAGGGCCGGCGATCTGCGCGGCGCTGACCGCGTTCCAGAACTACTTGGTGGAGTCCCTCAAGGGGCTTGACAAAATGTTCATGAACAGCACAGGCAACGGTCACTCAGTTGGTGACTCCAAAACCTCAGAAAAGGATGTTAAGCATCGGAAATGACCCCTTCTGCGGGCTGTGACTCGCCGCATCTCCCCCATTAGAGGGTTCCTTCCCATTTCCAGGATGTGAGAGACAGAAGGTCCTTCAACACTCCTGGAAGTGTTGCAGGGGCGGGAGGAGGGACAGGATTAACCCTCCTCTCTCCTGCCAGGTTTCCCAAACTGTGACGGATGCATTTTTGAAACCGATTCAATGAAAAAGAGGAGATTGACGAAGAAGAAGAAGGGGCCGAGCCAACCTCAGCACGAGAAGAAATTAGTTAGCGGTTTGGGTTGAGACAACTGATTTTCCATAGGAGAGACTGGAAGCCTGGTTATATGTGCAATTATTTTGATGATTTTATGTCTTTCATTGGAAAAGTCCGTGCTCAGAAAAAAAAGGTTGGGAGGTTCCAGGCAGCATCGCCAAGGAGAAAGCAGAGACAAAGAGGCCTTCAGATAGAATCTAGAGAAGGTCTTTTCAGAATCGAGGCGTGTTTAGAGTCAAAGAGTACTGGATATTTTTTTTTGACTCATGCAACAGGCCTGGATTGTACAGGGGTGGTGGGCTGTTGCGGATTCGCACGGGTTCAGGAGAACCTCTAGCTAAGAATCTGCCCAGTTTGGAGAACCTGCAAATCCCACCCCTGGCTGGCCCAGACAACCCCTCCCCTCCCAACCCTTCCCTCCCGGGAGTCCCCACATGGCCCGTTTGGGATGTCAGGTAAGTGCAGGGGTAGTGCGGAGACTCGGGAGGGCGAAAAACAGGCCTCCTGGAAGTTCCGGAAGGCTGGAAATGGGCCTGTTTCTGCCCTCTGGAGGGCCTCCACAGCCCTGGGGAAGCCATTTTTGCCCTCCCGGGGGCTTGAGAAAAGCCTCCAGAGGCAGGGGAGGCCAAAAACGCTCCCCCCTCCACCATGGTGCAGGAGGCTGACCGGACCACGCCTACCGTGGCCATGCCCACCCAGCAACCAGGCAGGGAACCCGTTGCTGAGATGTTTGAAGCCCACCCCTGCCTGGACATCTGCACCAGAGAGAGAAGGCTCCATCAGCACTTCTTATAATCATGACCTTACAAATCACTGATTTTATATGGCTTTTCTTTGCCACAGTCTTACGTCCCCCCCCCCAAAAACCCACATCCCAGTGATACAATCTTGGAAAATATTGTACAACTCTGTTTACCGATTTTTGGGGAGTCCAGTTAGACCTCATGGTGGAGGTGCTGATAGAGGAGCCATCCTGGTAACCCCCACCCCAACACTAAAGGGGAGAGAAATCCCTGCTTTTAGGCATCGTCTCTTCTATCAAAATGTCCTTTGAGCTTCTCTGGACTAAAGGCGAGAGAGGTGGTCCAACCCAGCCTCCTCATCCCAAGTTCTGAAATATTCGTAATGCTATTAATATTAAATAATGGAATAATAAATTAATAATTGATCTGAAGCACAAGACTAGTCCTTGAAGGAGAGGCCAAACGGAACTATAATGAAATCTGTATATATTTATTTATGTGTAATTAAATAAATAAAAAGAAGTTTTAACACGTCCAGTGTGTATTATTTAAAATGATTTTAAGTTGGGAGTTCTATAGAGTTCTTTTTTTTTTTCCGTTATGAAAAATAAAAGTCAGTCCTTGAAATTTTCGGGAATAAGGTTTCGGAACGCACAACAGGGTAGCGTGGATTACAGTTTGCAGTGCAAATAAATTAAGACACATTTCAGCACATATGGAATTCTCTCTCCCCCCCCCCCCCTCCCTTCTGCCTTTTGTACTTCCTGTGGTTTCTCTGGAAAAGCTGCAATAGATGTATGAATTCCACCCAACAAAAGTGTCACCGTTACTATCTGAATAAAATCTTTTTATTTACCACCATCTCCAGGCTTGTATTTTGTTATGGCAGTAAATGGTGCGAGTGGAGGGGAGTGATTTCGGCTTTTGCCTGAAGTTTTAAGACTATCCTAAGGCTTTCGCAGCTGCTGTATGGCATTTTCTATTTCATAACGGTGACACGGGGCGTTGGCTGGAACAGATCCCAGGGGACATCAAAGCAAAGTGGTGGCGGGGAGGGTTGTTGTATGTGATCCTGGGGGTTCTCCTGGCTCAAAGAGCCTAATGGAATTATAAAAGTGCTGAGTCACAGCTTCCCAAATGCAACCTAAATTGGCCAAGTATAAAAGCTCTGCAGAGACCTGAGGGCCTTAGTGATGGGCACCATAACAAACACCTTTGCCATTAGCTATTCTGCCCATGGAGTGCCAGAAGATAGAAAGATCCCTCCCTCCCCTCTCCCTCCCTTCCCTCCCTCTCTTCCCTCTCCTTCCTTCCTTCCTCCCTCCCCTCTCCCTCCTTCTGCCCTCCCTCCCTCTCCTCCCCTCCCTTTCTTGCCTCCCTCCCTCCCCTTTTTCCTTCCTTCCTTCCCTCCCTTTCTCTCCTCCTTCCCTTTCTTCTTCCCTCCCTCCCTTTTTCTCCTCCCTTCCTTTCCTTCTTTCTTCCCTCCCTTCCTTTCTCTCCTCCCTTCCTCCCTCCCTCCTTCCCTTCACCAGAGCTTGTTTCTCCAAGAATCATCTAAAAGCTATTGTGTTGTAGTGTGGAATAGAAGTGATGGGGATATAAATACAAGTAAATGTCAATGTACAAGTAAGCTCTCATTTGGTGACTGCCTCACTGAGTGACCATTTGCAGTCATGCCAGTGATGAATAAAGTAAGCAATCCTGGCATTTACGACTGTTGTTAAGTCCACAGAGCAAAAGAAAGCTGAAGATTGTAAGCATGGTCACAGTTTCACTAGTAATCACTTCACTTAATGCCCGAGTTGCCAGTCCCAACTGTGGTTGCTAAATGAGGATGACCCGTACATTAGGGACAAAATTAAAATTAAATGCAATAATAAGATGCTGCCATAATGCTGCTAAAAAACAAAATACTTGAAACTAATCATTATAGAGTTACTTTGCAAGGTATGAGAGTTAGCTATAGGAAAAATGACTGATTTGTACAACATAAACACCTCACCTAAGGTAGTTACAGGCAGTTCTTGACTTACTAAGGGTCTCTTTAGTGACTGAAGTTACAACAGCCCCTCCAAATGTATGACCCAGTTGTGAAGTTCCGATGGTCACTTCCCACTCCCACGATTGTATTTCAGGTCTTAGCAACCAGGCTACATTTACGGCCATTTGTAGTGTCCCAGTCACATGACTGCAATTTATGACATTTTTGGATTTACTTCTGACTATCGGCAGAAATACCCCATAGCAAACAATAGGTTCACTTAACAACTACTACCCCCCCCAAAAAAGGACATCAAAATCTGATCACAAGGGTGATTTCCTTTACGACAGTCACGACTTAATGATTGTAATAGGCAGGCTCCATTACAGTTGTGAGTCGAAAACGATCTGGAATGGATTTAATCTCACAATGTGCTGAGCACGGCTCTGTTGTAATGAGCGTGTGATGTCTAGGTGTGCAAACGCACATGCACAAACAACCCACATTAGCAAACCCAGGAGGTTGGTTTAGGAAAGAGCCAGCTTCCTCTGCTGGTTCTCTCCTTTATTATTTTTATTTAGTTCGTTCGTTTGTCAAACATGTACGAGATAGCAGGTGTAAGTATAAACATGGACATGAGCACATGAAATGAGTACAAATAAATGGGGACAGGACAGGGATGGTAGGCACGCTGGTGCGCTTATGCACGCTCCCTTTACAGACCTCTTAGGAATGGGGTGAAGTCAACAGTAGGCAGTTGAAGCTATGGGGGTTAGAGGAAGTAACAATGGAGTCAGGTAGAGCATTCCAGGCATTGCTGAAGTCGCATTTTCTGCAATCGAGTTTGGAGCAGTTTACCTTGAGTTTGTATCTATTGTGAAGCTTAAGTAGTCATTGACAGGTAGGACATTGTAACAGACAATTTTGTGTACTATGCTTAGGTCAGATCGAAGGCGGCGTAGTTCTAGATTGTCCAGGTCCAAAATTTCAAGCCTGGTGGCACAAGGGATTCTGTTGTGAGCAGAGGAGTGGAGGACTCTTCTTGTGAAATACCCCTGGACCTGCCCAATTGTATTAATGTCTGATATACAGTGTGGATTCCAGGCAGAAGAGCTGTCCCACCAGCGTGTTCTGATCCTAGTTGTGATGCCCCGCTACCTTCAGCCCTGTTAAGGCACTGCAGCAAATGGAGACATCTTCAAAAATGGAAAATGACGTTCTGAGCCATTTGGTCCAGCGCTAATGTGCTATTAAGTAGTTATCCAATAAGTGCATTCATGTAGCTTAACTGGAGCCAGCTGTCCAGAGGAAGGGAGGAAACTCTTGAATGTCAATGCGAGGGGTTGACTTCCCCACCCCCACCTCTTGTTTTTAAATAAAAAGGCCCATTCTGGGATTACAAGTATTTGCCACTTCCGGAGTGGCTAATTTCATTAACAAAGATTTGGACAAGGCTTGTTTCAGCCTCTGTATCAAAAAACTTTCATGACCTGGAATCCAGGGCAGGTCTGTGGCCGGGGGAGGGGAGGGGTGGGAAGAACAGAGGGCTAGGGAGGGGGGGGGGCTAATCTGAAGGGCAGGTTGGTGCCTTGGGGGGTTATTCAACACACTGCTTCCTTGAACGATCAGTTTTCATCAATCAAGGGCACTTTTCTTGGACTTTTAAATTGCAGTTGTACATTAAAAAAATATCTCAGTGGTATTTCGTGTCCTAACAACCAAATCCACCCCCCCCATGCAGAAAAGGAAGAACATATTTTACGTTCTCTTCCCCAAGGATGTTTCAAGGACTGATGTTTTGAACCTTCTTCCAAACTACGCAAAGTCCTTGAGTTACAACTGTAATTGAGCCTCCAAGTCATGGCAGTCATTAAGCAGAGAATCACACAACTGTGCCTTTATGACCCCTCCTTTTTTCAGTGGTGGTTAAGTGAATGTCACGGTTGCTAAGTGAACCCATTGTTTCCTATGGGCAGATTTTTTTTTGCCAGAAACCAGATGTTTTTAAAGATGTGTGCATCTTTTCTATCCTGCTCTA